TATATATATATATATATATAAGAAAAAAAATAAAATGACATAATAAAAAAATCAATCATATAAATGAATTTAGTAAAAGATAAATGATAAAAATAGTCAATCATATAAATGAATTGAATAAAATATGTACTTATAAAATAAATCATTAATAAAAAATAATTTAAAAATAATAATAATAAATAAATAAATAACCCTTAGCATTTGAAGATGTGGGAGATTACATTCCACCAAATAAAGTGAACCCTTATCAGATCTTGAAAATGAATCATATTCCTGTTTCATAAGTGAAAATATTATTGTTTGACAAAATGAAAAATGAAAGTACGATGCTATATTTGACAAATACAAAATAAAAGTATGATTCTACTTACACGATTAGGGAACAAAAGAGACTAAATGTAATTTCAACTTTTGACCATTTACTTGTAGACATGTGTGCCAATCATACCCTCTTCAAATGTTGCCAAAAGAAACAGGTGGGAAGTTTTAAGTTTAATCATTTCTTCATTCACGTATAAATTTCTTATAAAGGTACAATTTATTGTAATAAATAATCGTATTAACTAATCAATGTTTCGCAAAAAACTATTAATTTACAAAGATAGATGTTTTATCATAATTGTTAGTTAAAACTAATATATACATTGTTACGATATTTTCAAATTGAATTTCTCAAACAGAAACTTTTCAGCATGATATTTTCAAAACATCATATGCAAGTTTAGATTGAAACTTTGTCAAATTACTAAAATGCCGTGATCATGTTTTGTATTTTTAAACCAAAATGTTGTCAAATAGCTAAAAAATGCCCCTAATGATATTTTTACTCACAAAATCAATTCAAGACATTTTCTACCCATGTGTGTCAATAGTCAAGTAAGAAATATTTAAACCATTAACAATCTTAATGAAATGATGGAAATCAATACAAACCTGTTGAAAATCCTTGAGTGCTTCTTGAAACTTTCCCAATGCAATATATAAGATATGCATCACCACGCCGATAATAACCCTAAAACTATGCATATTATTTAAACAAGAAAAAGTAACATCACTAATATGCATTCACAACTTAGATTTTGTAAGAAATGAGGAATCAAGATGAAAAACAAATAGCATGCCTTTGAATACTTGGGATCAATCTCAATTATTTAGTTCGATTACTTGTGTATAAAAATCAGTTGCGTGATAGTGATAATAATTAACTTTTGCTTGTCATTTGGAGCCTATAGCTTGGAGAGAACTTCTCTAGACCAACCAACATAAAATTCACAATTTTTACCGCTCTTTGATCAACAATATTTGACCAAAAAAATTAATAGTACTATCGAAACACAAAAATTATTTTATAAAATAGATGCACTGCATGTGTCCTTTGGATGAAGGATGAGAAAATAATGGTTTTAAAAGTTTGTTATAAAAGAATGCCAAATGGCCACATGGCATGTCCTCCTTACATAAAATTTCAATATGGATTAGCCAATATACCCTTCAGCCTTTATAATCTACGTAAACATTCTTTATTTTGAAATTGAAATTTATTTCTTTTGAATTTGAATCCCTCAAATTCAGCACAAACCTTTCCTACTCTTAATCCTAATCCAAAATTAAATTTGACAAGGGCTTCAATCGATTCCATATTAACCTCAATCGCAGCTTGGATTACAAATACATCTTCAAGGAAGCTGATCTCCAATGACTTCAAGAGTATATCACGACTCATTCAATTTTGGTTTAGTATATCTTCTTAACCTCTCAACCCCATTATTTCATCTGCTCAACCTCTCAACCTCTACCAGGAAAACTAATTTATCCATATGGCACTAATCGTTTTTTTATGGATTCTTCTTCTTTGGCAGTTCAGGTAGGATCAGTGATTGTTTTAGCAGTTCTTCTTGGGGTCTGCTGGGAGAAACCCTAGATCAAGAACAAACTGAAAATAAAATAAAAAAATTTAGTAAACAGGATAGGATATATGAAGATAAACATGTACTTTCTGTTTTTATTTTATATTTTTAGTCTATATGCTCTATATAGTTATTAATATTTTATATGTAAATATATCTTTAAAAAATAGTTTCTTACCTAACTCATATTAGAGGTTTATTTTAAACCAAAGCATTAGTGGATGTTTGATTGTGATTGTGCTTAATTTATACCTGCAAGTGACGACACTCACCCTTCTAAATTTTTTTGACATTTTCAAAACACTGAGTTGGATCTTGAAGGTGAATGAAGCAAGATTATTAATACTTTAACGTTATTATGTGCTTATGACTGCTATTTTTTTATGTTTAATATCATATGGTGGCATGATGTCGGAGGAAATTGGGTAAAATTTTATTACTTTTTTCATTTTTAAAGAGGAACTAAATACACCAATAAATAAAAGTACATTGCTATACTAAGTATATGTACATTTGGTTATTATCTACGTGGTATATGTAAATTGTATTTATGTTTTTCATTATACATACGAGGGTACTTTGGTCTTTTGATAAAAAAAATTAGAATGAAATTGAATTCCTACAGCCCTCAAGAATGGTGAAACCCATCACACATAAAAGCTTAACGATTCCAATGGAATTGAATTCTATTCATTTGGCAATCAAACACGCCATAGAATGGAATCATGAATTCCAATTCCTTTAGATTTCATGAACCAAAAAATTAAGAAGAGTTTATAACGTTAATTAATTAATTAAATAAATGAAAAGATAAACGAACCTTAAGTTGACCGGAATCATTGACCAGAAAATTTAAAGGTAAAGTGACATCCACAATCTGTGAAGCTAATTCATATTCATCTTTTTTCTCTTCTGGATTATTGGCGCTTTTAATTGCTTTAGGGTTACCATAAACTGCTTCAATAATGACCAAACCACCCGTTTCCCCATTGTTTATTTTTTCTCACTTGCCTAACAATTGTTGAGCTTTCTCTGCTGCTGCTTTTGTTTATTGAACCTATACATGTAACAACACACAAAAATACCTATAATACCCTCCAACAAAACACCTGCTCAACACGTATAAGAGAAGTGTTTTTTCTTTTTTTTTTTTTTTTTTTTTTTTGTAAAATACCCTCCAACAAAACACTTGGTTAACACATACTTTAAGGGTAAATACGTAATTTTTACATACCTGTGTGCGAGTCTGTTTCATATTCTTGAGTACTTGTTGTTTTTCTCTTCTATGATAATAAGGTTTGAAAACAAAAGACTGCATGCATAAAAATAAAAGATTATGGTTAAAAACTAACAAATCATAGAAATGTTAAAAATGTTTTGTTCAATTTCATTCATGAAGCAAGTATATCACATCTTACATTATACCGTTTTTTTGATTAATTGTCGAATTCATTGATTTAAGAGTAGTAATAAATAATAATAGCCTGAAGCAAATCCAAATAAGAAATGCCCCTGAAGCAAATCCAAAATTAAAGTGTCTTGAAAGAAAATTTTGCACACAATAAGAAATCAAAAACAAAGAAAAATCTGCACACAATAAGAAATAAAAAACAATTCTTTACATACAGACATCAAAACAACAATATGAATATATTTGTATTTTCTTCTTTACTTTTCATTGACGGGTTTTACTATAAAATCTGATTCAGTGTGTCTCGTGGGCTTGTTTCTGAATGTATTTGATCATCTGATAATGTTATTACATCTTATGCAGGTGTTACACTATGTTCATAATCGAGAGTGACTGATGTTGTTAACTTTAAAAATTACAATGGCAACTACAATCCATTATAAGTATAAATCAAAAGCTTGCACAATTCAGATTAAATTATCCAACTTTTATTTCTTTTTTTGGGGGTTGTGTAACTATCTATTTCCATTTCAGTTCATACTTTGAGTGCAATGTTATAGAGGGCCACAAAGTTGCTGAACATTTTTTAAGTCGAATTGACAGGTGCACATCCACCATCAAGCAGCCATGAGGAAGACCCAAAATCAAAACAACTTCTCCGAAATTAGAAATAAAACATAATCAATGGATAGTTGAAGGAGGAAAATCAAAGAACAATATGAACTATAATCAACCAAAAGAAGAAGAAGAAATTGCTATTCCATATAAATCAGACGAACTGGAAACACAGACAAGGGAAAGTTTACAGACCTAAAAGTTATTGGTGTCGCCGATTATCAGTTGATGTGCAATAGTACTTCACGAGTGTTGATCGATGCAACTTTTGAAGCTTCAGTGATAAAGTTCGTCGGCAGAGAAAGCATGGCCGGTCTCATGGAACGGTGGAGCCGAATTAGGGTTAAGAAAATTCGTTACTTTAGGTAACGGATTCTGATTTTGGAAACTTTAAAATCGTTAAAGAGCCGCATAAGTGTTCAAAACAAACGGTTGAGTTGTTGGTGACTTAAGCAAATTGATAAAATCTATAAATGAAATATAATCAAGGGTTTTGATTGTTTAATAATATTTAGAGATCTATATATACCAATATATCCAGCGACTTAACTCATTTATTTTTTACTTTGTTATTTATATAATTACGGAAAATATGTAAACAATGGGCAGAAATTAAATAATTGAACATAAATCTCACCATGCATGATTTTTTGCTATTAAAAGGAACTCCGATCCTCACATTTATTGATTCAATTTAACATAAAAAATGTCTGCAGAAATTAACAGAGAGAAAATTGATTCCAAAGAAGAAGAAATAGCCACAAAAATAATATGGATACATGTTTTGGGTTTCACTCGAATGGCAAGCTAAGCAGTGCCGCCAGTGTGATGGGTCTCGGCGGCGTCAACTCACCTTTTCAAGCAGCGGATGGTGATGATGTATGGAAATTCGCAGCTCTGAATCCTGGTCACATGGTAAGCTTAATTATTGATATACATGGTAAGCTTACTTATTGCCTACAAATTTTTAGAGCCCATTAAAAATGTATCTACTAAAAGTTTGGTATTAACTGGTAGCAAGTAGTGGCAAATCGAAATCTCTAACGGTAACCAACCTTACAACACGATATATGAATTTCTCATTTGCTTCGATTCTTAAATTGAAACTTCCAATCCAATTTCTTAAAACATTCTTGATTCCGATTTTGATTTCTCAATAGTAAACTGAAGACGTTCTTGATTCTGATATCCAAAAAAACAAATAGGAAAAACTATCTACCGGGAAAAAATTGAAAACGATTTCTACTCTCTGTCAATTCTAAGGAAAGCGTCTGAAAAAAAATAGATTTTCGGAATACGATTTCTACTTAAAAGCAACTATCTATTGGAAAAACGATTTTTGATATTCTTTTTCTGAAAAACAATTTCACTTTCTACTGATATGAGGAAACGGTTTCCTGAAAAAAAAAAATTCGGGAAAACCATTATTGATTCAACATTAGTGGAAGATCAACAATCCCGGTTGTTGAAGTAAGTTTCTAAAATTCTTAGATTCCTACCGTAACTTTTTGATTTTGATAAATCTGATTTATGATATATGTTCTATTGTTCTTGTTAGTTCTTGAATTTTGACGTAATATTGTTTGACTAATTGTTGTTGGAGCCTTAAAAGTTCAACTCGAAAAAAGAGAACACAAATATACATAATATAATGCAATAACATGTCTAACATGTACAAAATCAAAAAACTCATAATCATTATCTAGGTCCAAGAACTCGAAATGAATTAATTTGTATTTTAGCTAATAATATATACTCAATATTATTAAATAAACAAAATATTTTTCTGTGATTCTTGATTGTCCCCCGATGTTAGCTATCAAGAACAAATGACTCTAGTTATTCGATGTGTGAACATGTTTAGTAATAAAATAAAAATTGATGAATACTTTTTGGAATTTTTGAAGTTAGATGATACTTTCGATTTACGACTTTTTAATGAGTTATTAGATGCATTAAACTCATTAGATCTTCATATTGATGATTTAAGCTCACAAGGTTAGGGTAATGGTTCTAACATGAAACGTAAACATCAAGGGGTTCAAAAATAAATACTTGAAAATTAATCCAAGAGCATTATATATGTCGTGTGTTTTTCATAGTCTTAACCTTACAGTTAGTCATATAGCTCATTCTTGTGTTCAAGTTTATTTTTGGAATTTTACAATGCATATTTGTATAATTTTTAGTTCTCCTAAAAAGCGAAAAATATTACTAAATAATGTTCTAAATTTAACTGCAAATTATTATGCAATACATATTAGGAGAGTATAATTAAAAGTGTAAAAGTTATTGGATATCAAGCTCCTCAACTAAGTGTAGGATTGATAACATTATGTAAATTGTGTGATGACACAAAATCAAAAAGTAAAGCATAAATGATTAGTTAGTGTTATCGAAAATTTAGAATTTTTAATTGGTATGACCATTTGGTGGTATGATATTTGATTTGTTATATACTAACATGGTAACTAAAAAGTTGCAAACAAAATCTGTTAGTACTGATACCACCATTAATCAACTAAAAAGTATAATAACATTTTTTTAAGAAATATAGAAATGAAGGATTTGTCGTTATTATAGATAATGCTAAAGCCATTGCATTTGATATGGATTTTGATCATACTTTTCCAATAAAACGTCGAAGTATTATAAAAAGACGATTTGATGATAATGAAGATGAATTACACTCGTCTACAAAATATTTTATAATTGAGTATTTTATTATTGTTTATACGACAATTTCTTTATTAGAAAGTATATCTGAACAATTAACGACTTTTAAATTTTTTTTATTTTTATTTTTTACCTTTTTTTGTATGATTAGAAAAAATGAAGTCGTTAGATGAAATTGAGCTTAAGAAATGTTGTACTAATTTTGCAAACTCATTTCTCAAATTAACTAACTTATGATGTGGATTTAAATTATTTGTTTTTGGAACTCAAAGTGTTGGAGATTACTTTACCAAATATGTTTATATCTGCATTTAAAATATTAGAGTTTGTTAAAGAAGAAGACTGTTTTCCAAATGTTTTCATTGTCTATCGAATCTTATGAACTCTACATGTTACTATAGCATAGTAGAAAAAAGTTTTTCAAAATTGAAGTTATCTAAAAAAAACTTTTTGAGATCATCAACGTCACAATAAAGACCGAATGGTTTGGCCATGTTATGCATCGAGAAAGATACGTCGGACAATATTGATATTGATATTATTATTAATGACTTTGCTTCTAAAAAAACTCGTAAATATAAAAAAAATTGTTTTTTTTAGTTGTGATTGTTTGGCTCCCGGTCCTATCTTAGGGGCCTTTCAATTCAATAGTTGGGGTATTTCTAGACTGCTTTTGTATTATTATTATTTTTAATTAATAAAATTTATCCGGAGGTTCCACTCTGGTTTACTTCAAAAAATTACTCTTAAGGCTCTAATTTTTTTTAATTTTCTTGGAGCCTCAAATCGATTTGAATCGGCCCTAATGTGATGAAACGAATCCATGGGTGATTGTTTAGGATTGTCCATGTACCAAAGCGATTAATTTTGATTTGCCTCGTATGGTGTCGATGGCTCCCTTATGTAAAGGTGAAGATTATGTAAAGGTGAAGAACATGTTGGAGGTAACATGTTTGATCATGCCGATGTTGCTTATCTGGTACTTACCTACTATTTACTGATTGCTAATCAATATATTAAAATATAAGGGTGGTTTCTTTAAGTTTCCCAAGTGGTAGCAAATATAAAAATCAAATAAAATATACATATGGATTAATCGAAATTAACAACTCTTATTTATTGAATAAATATATCACCAACACTAAGGGATCATTTGGTTCGCTGGAATCTGTTGGAATCGGAATGAATTGGAATTTAATTCCATCACTTTCCTATGTTTGGTTCAAGTTTTGAGAAGGAATTGGATTCTTAAATGTGTCCAACTTTCCTTCCATTGAAGGAAAATAAATTCCATCTAAAAAACGAGGAAATTCAAATTCCTTCAAGTGGGAATGTTGAAGATTACCATATTACCCTTTTCATTTTTAACATTAAATATGAAAAATCTTCGTCACTACTCGCGACCACCTCCACCACAACCTTCGCCACCACTACCCACCACCTCCACTACCACCCACCACCACCACCTCTGCCACACACCACCACCATCACTAACCATCACCATTGATGTTGTCGCCACTTCCACCACCACCCACCACTACCACCGCTTCCATTATCACCACCACCACCATCACCATCGCTGACATCACTACCACCACCACCGTCACCACCACCACCACTACCACTACCTATAACCTCCGTTACCACCTACACCACCACCCTACCACTACCGTTGTTACTACTTACTCTATCATCACCACCACCACCTCTATTGCCACCACCACCACCAGCGTCGCCGCCACCACCAACATCCACCTCCACCACCGCCGCCACTAACACTCACCGCCACAACCACTACTGAATCTACCATCAACATTAGTGATGTCACTACTAGCACCACTTCCACCTTCGTCACCACCACACACTGCCGCCATCACCACCACTGTCGCTTCTGCCACCATCGCAGCCGCCGCCACCATCGTTTACTATTTTTATAATTTATATAATATATCTTTACATATAATTATAACATAAAGTAAAAGTAAGAAAAAACCAAGAAGGGTAGTTCTGTCATTTTACACTATTCAAATTCCATTTTCCGCCAACCAAACAAAATATAAAATTGGATTCAAATTTCATTTACTGCTAACCAAACAGAATATTGAATGAAATTCCAATTCAAGACAGATTTATATTCCTCAACAGATTCCAATTCCTTCAAAAACATTCTGTGAACCAAACGCCGGCTAAATCATTGAATGATGACTATCATCAAAGTGACTAGTGTGATTATTTGAAATAAAACATTTCAAAACAGAGTTACTTCAGGTTTAATTTGATTCTCACATACGTTAATTTTGAGATGATCTACCAAAAAAACACTAATTCATTAATACTTAATCAAACTTTCAAACAACAACAAATTAAAAAAGTTTTAGGTCCAATATACAAAGAAACTCTTAAATATTAAGAGAAACTATAAAACTGGTCTGTGGTATATTGGTTTTTTTAGCTAGCGTCCAAAAAAATTTAACACACAAAATTCCTCCCTAATCTCTATATTCTAATATCCATATACTAATAAAAGAGTAGTTTTTTTTATCATGTGTCATCTTATTAAGTCTCCTAATTAATGTCATGTCACTTGTTAACCTATTGATTCTTTATTTCAAATTTAAAAATTTAAAAATTTCACTCTAATTAG